AAATAAATCAACCAGAAAAAAACCAAATAGCTCTATTAAAAAATGGGCAAAGGACATGAACAGACATTTCTCAAAAGATGACATACAACTGGTCAACAAACATATGAAACACATAGGAATATGAAAAAATGTTCAACATCATTAACTGATACGGTTTCGCCGTGTCCTCACCGAAATCTCGAATTCTATCTCCCAGAATTCCCACATGTTGTGGGAAAGACCCAGGGGAGGTAACTGAATCATGGGGGTCAGTCTTTCCTGTGCTATTCTCATGATAGTAAATAAGTCTCATGAGATCTGATGGGTTTATCAGGGGTTTCCACTTTTGTTTCCTCCTCATTTTTCTCTTGCCACCGTCACGTTAAAAAGTGCCTTTCACCTCCCACCATGATTCTGAGGCCTCCACAGCCATGTGGAATTGCAAATCCAATTAAATCTCTTTTTCTTCCCAGTCTCAGGTATGTCTTTATCAGCAGCATGAAAATGGACTAATACACTAATCATCAGATAAATGCATATTAAAAGCACAATGAGATACCATCTCACACTAGTCAAAAAGGCTATTAAAAGGTCATAAAATAATAGATGTCAGTCCTGTGCAAAAAAGGGAATGCTTATACATTGTTGGTGGGAATGTAAATTAGTTCAACCCCCACGGAAAACAGTATGGAGATATCTCAAAGAACTAAAAATAGAACTACTATGCAATCCTATTACTGGCTATCTATCCAAAGGAAGAGAAACTGTTGTATCAAAAAGACAGCTGAACTTGTATGTTTATCTTAGCACGAATCACAATAACAAAGTCATAGAATCAACCTAAGTGCCCATCAACGGTTGACTGGATAAAGAAAATGTGGTACATATACACCATGGAATACCATGCAGCTTTAAAAAAAGAATGAAATAATGTCCTTGGCAGCAACATGGATGCAGCTGGAGGACATTATCCTAAGTGAATTAATGCAGAAACAAAAAATCAAATACTGCATGTTCTCACTTATAAGTGGGAGCTAAACAGGGGGTACATGTGGACATAAAGGTAGAAACAATAGACACTGGCAACTCTAAAAGTAGGGAGGAAAGGGGGGAAGGGTTAAAAAGCTACCTGTTGGGTAGTATGTTGACTATTTGGTTGATGGGTTGAACAGATGCCCAAACCCCAGCATTACACAATATGCCCATGAAACAAACGTGCATGTATCCCCTGAATCTATTATTTTAAAATTTTCTTCCTTTCTATTGCTGAGTAATATCCCATGATGTGATTTACCATAGTTTAACCATTTGCCTACTGAAGGACATCTGAGTTGTTTCTAGATTTTACCTATTGCAAGAAAAGCTGCTATTGAACATTGTGTACACTGGTTTTTGTATAAACATAAATTTTCATTTCTTCAGGATAAATTCCCACCCAAAAGTGTAAACATACATCATATGGTGGGTGCATGTAGTTTCTAAGAAATTGCCATACTTTTTTCCAGAGTGGCAATGTCATTTCACATTCCACCAGCAATGTAAGAGTGATTTGGTTTCTCTGCACTGTGACCAATTTGGTGTTGTCATTATTGTAGGTATTTAGTGATATCTTACTGTGTTGTATCAATGACTTAAAAATTTTTTAGGTACAATGGCTAAAAGTATCAATGACTTAAAAATTTTTTTAGTTGATAATTGTATATATTTATGGGGTACAATGTGGAATTTTGATATATATTTATATTGTTGAGTGCCAAGCTAATTAACATATATATCGCATACTTAAATTTTTGTGGTGAGAACATTTAAAACCTACTCTTTTAGCAATTTTGAAATATACATTATTATTAACTACAGTCTTATGGTGTACAACAGAGCCCTAAAACTTATTCCTCCTGTCTAAATGAAACTTTGTACCCTTTGAGCAACATCTCCCCATTCCTCATCTGCCGACCCTCCATCCACCCCAGAAACTACCAGTCTACTTTGCTTCTATGAGATCAACATTTTAAAATTCCATATATAAGTGGGATGTACAAAAGTCAGTAGCAGTATTTGTCTTTCTGCACCTGGCTTACTTCACTTAGCTGGTTATTCCACGTCACAAATGACAGAATTTCTGTCTTCTATAAGGCTGAATAATATTCCACTGAATACATACATTTTCTTTATCAATTCATCTGCTCGTGGACACTTAGGTTGCTTCCATATCCTAGCTATCGTGAATAATGCTACAATAAACAAGACTGCAGATTGTGCAGATCTCTCTTCATCATGCTGATTTCAACTCATTTGGATATATAACCCAGTAGTGGGACTGCTGAATACTGTGGGAGTTCTATTTTTAGTTTTTTTTTTTGAGACGGGGTCTTGCTCTGTCACCAGGCTGGAGTGCAATGGCACGATCTCGGCTCACTGCAACCTCCACCGCCTGGGTTCAAGCGATTCTCCTGCCTCAGCCTCTCTAGTAGCTAGGATTACAGGAATGCACCACCACGCCAAGCAATTTACAGATTCAATGCTATTCCTATCAAATTACCAATGTCATTCTTCACAGAACTAGAAAAAACCGTTTAAAAATTCATATGTAACCAAAAAAGAGCCCGAATGGCCAAGGCAATCCTAAGCAAAAAGAATGAAGCTAGAGGTATCATTTTACCCAACTTCGAACTATAGAACTGGGCTAAAGTAACCAAAACAGCATGGTACTAAGGCCAATGGAACAGAATAGAGAGCCCAGAAATAAAACTGCATACCTACAGTCATTTAATCTTTGACAAAGCTGACAAAAACAAGTAATGAGGAAAGGACTCCTTATTTAATAAATAGTAGTGGGCTAGCCATATACGGAAGATTAAAGTTGGACTCCTTCCCTACACTATATATAAAAATCAACTCAAGATGGATTAAAGACTTAAATGTAAAACCCAAAACTAAAAAAACCATGGAAGACAACCCAGGCAATATCATCCTTGACACAGGAATGGGCAAAAATTTCATGAAAAAGACACCAAAAGCAACTGCAACAAAAGCAAAAATTGACAAACAGGATCTAAACTTAAGAGCTTCTGCAAAGTAAAAGAAACTATTAACAGAGTAAACAGACAACCTACAGAATGGGAGAAAATATTTGCAAACTGACAATGGTCTACTAACTAGCATCTACAAGGAACTTAAAAAAAATTTGCAACAGAAAAACAATCCCACTAAAAAGTGGGCAAAGGACGTGAACAGACACTTTTTTAAAAAAGACATACACATGGCCAACAACCATATGAAAAAGGCTCAGTATCACTGATCATCAGAAAAATGCAAATCAAAACCACAATGTGATACTGTCTCATGGTCAGAATGGCTACTATTAAAAAGTCAAAAAATAATACATGGCGAGGTTGTGGAGAAAAGGGAACACTTATATACTGTTGGTGGGAGTGTAAATTAGTTGGACCATTGTGGAAAGCAGTATAGTGATTCCTCAAAGAGCTAAAAACAGAAGTATCATTACTGGGTATATACCCAGAGTAACATAAATCATTGTACTATAAAGACACATGTATGCAAATGTTCATTGTAGCGCTACTCACAATAGCAAAAACCTGGAATCAACTTAAGTGCCCACAAATGGCAGATTGGATAAAGAAAATATGGTACATATATAACATGCAATACTATGCAGCCATAAAAAAAAAATCATATCTTTTGTGGGAACATGAACAGAGCTGGAGACTATTATCCTTAGCAAACTAATGCAGGAACAGAAAACCAAATACTGCATGTTCTCACTTATAAGTGGGAGCTAAATGATGAGAACTTATGAATACAAAGAAGGAAAAAACAGATATTGGGATCTACTTTAGGGTGGGGGGTGGGAGGATGGAGAGATGCAAGAAAAATAACTATTGGGTGCTAGGCTTAATACTTGAGTGATGAAATTATCTGTACAAAAAACCCCTGTGACACGAGTTTACCTATAAAGCAAACCTTGACATGTACCCCCAAACCTAAAATAAAAGTAAAAAAACCTCATGTAGCTACATAAGATCCAAATCTTAAACCTTCCAATTCTAAGTCTAGGGAATTTTCTTGGTTACCTTTCTACCTGCGTCCCCTCACCCCGCTCCACCACCCTGGTCAAAGCGCAAAGCATTCAATGAAGAACTTAATAAAATAGAACTGTGAAAAAAGGGAATACAGAGCATAAAAGGAAGTTTAATGAAGCAGCAACAAAGAAATGTTCTACAAAGACTTGCTTTTAAAAAACCTTCTAAGATAGCTTAGTTGGCTGAGGCAGGAGTGGGAGGTGAGGAATGACAGGGAGAAAAAGACAAAAGATGAGGGGGAAGGGAGATTTTGTAAGAGTGAGGGGAAGATCTCGGGAGTAATGTAGATAGTATAGTGTATTGGATACAACCAAACAAATAGAAATCAGAATAAATGACATGTAGTTTATATGAGTAGGAAAGTTTGAAATTGAGATTTTGTAACCAAGGGAGTAATTACTTTGAAAACCAAAAATTATCCTTGCAATAAAAAGAATTCTCTAGTTTAAATTTATCATTTTCCAGTTTTGCTCAATTTGGACTTCCTATATGCTTTAATTTCACCTAAATATATCTTTATTCTCAAAGAAGAAATAATTTACTTCTTCAGGATATAAATTACCTCAGTAATAGGAACTACGTACTTGTTGATTTCTTTCTGTGCTTAAAATAAGCAGACAAAATGCTATGTTTCCCCAGTGCAAAACAGTGATAAGATGAAATTACATTAAGTGTAATATTTATTCAAAAAATACTGCCTTGAGACAAAAGATCCCTTACGATTTCTGTAACAATACACACTTATTATTTTTTCCCACTACTTGAGCACCTTCCCCCCAAATAAAACATCACAGTTAAGACAAATCTAACCATTTTAAAGAAAATTGTAGAGATAGTGAAATCTATTTACATTGGATAGGAAATTTATATTGGATGGAAAATTTCTATATTGCAAGGAAAAAGTAAAAAAAATATAATTACCTGTTTTTCTTTATTAACTCCAGACATGAAGAGCTGCTTGTATTTGTCCTTAAATGCAAAGTTTAGAGCTTGTGTTGGAAAATACCGAATAACATTTGCCAAATTGCCACGCCAAAAACTGAAGAAACCTATAGAAGGAAACATACAAATACATAAACCTACATTGTATTATTACTGAACAATTGCCATAGTTTTAACAAATTTAGCGATATGAACTATCTAAAACATACTCTTTCTTATGAGAAAAAGTTTTCTAAAATGTGTGTCTCCATTGAAAAATAAAAAGGTAGTGTTAACTCTATTGCACCCCATTCCATTTTTTAAAAAATTTCAAATAAAGAGCTTTGAATACCTAAAAACTAACGGAAAGTGGTATCAGTTGAATATAGGGCTCTTTACTAGCAGAAAAACAGAGCTCAGTAGTATTTGTCAAAGGCTAGTAACCCTTAGGCTCACTCCCAATTCCTGATGTACAACACCTATGGTGGTAAGGCTGTTATACAAATGAGTATGACAGAATATATCCACTTACTGATTTGTACATATACTTATGAGAATGAGAACAGGATAAAAGAATCTAAAGTGCCCTTATCTTTATGATCTGGAACCATTTTTGAATGGGTGTTAAAACTTATCCAGAAAAGGGATCCATTTCAATTCTAGGCAGTTTCTAGACAACTGAGGAAGAGATTGGAAGAAATCTTTGAGGCCTGTAATCTCACTACCTGAATTCTCCAGGGACTGACCAACCTTGGGGAATATAATTCATTGTGTACCCCTTAAAATTCAGGACTATCCTTATGATATAGAGTTGCCCTAGAGCATGGCAGGCTAGCTCTTCAATAGCCTTGGTTGTTTTCACTAGATTACAAATCGTAAAATGCTTTGGCCTTGCTGTTCTGAACAGGATACCTCTAGCACCAGTTTGGAGAATACCCAGAATCAGTCTTTTAAAAATAAAGATTCAAAAGAAAATAATCTCAGTTAACTGGGGTAGTGCTCAGAATTGAACAAAGTTAGATTAGGTAAGTACATAGAGGGAAAGATACTTATTTGTTAAATAAGTAACATTAACCCTGTGGGAAAAAGTAAAGAATCTTGGTGAACCCAAGGCTGAATATAAAGTGACTGCACAAAAACAATTCAGAAGCATATTTAATGGCAAAGAAATAATCTGACTCCAACAGCTGACTCCATCTTTACTCGGGTATTCAACATGTGATGGTAACAACTACTACTTACTGAGCATTCACTATACGAACCAGTCACTGGCAAAGAATTTACATGTATATCATTTAATCAATTATGCTTATTATGTAGGTTCTCTAACAGCACCCATTTTAAGTATATACAAAGTGAAACTTTAAAAAGTTTAAAAACTAGGCTAGGTACAGTGGCTCACGCCTGTAATTCCAGCACTTTGGGAGGTCAAAATGGGAGAACTGCTTCAGTTCAAGAATTCAAGACCAGCCTGGGCAACACTGTAAGACCGCATCTCTACAAAAAATTAAAAAAATAAATTAGCCATGTGCAGTGGCACATGCCTGTAGTTCCAACTACTCAGGAGGCTGAAGTAGGAGGATTTCTTGAGCTGAGGATGTAGAGGCCGCAGTGAGCTATGATCACACAACCACATTCCAGCATGGGTGACAGAATGAGAACCTGTCTTTAAAACAAAAAAAAAAAAAAAAAAAAGAAAAGAAAAGAAAAAAGAAAAACTGTCTGAGGATTACTAGCCAACCAAGATTTAAAATCAGGCTTTCTGTCTGACTCCAAAACTCTACTCTAGGCCTGGATTTCTGGAGAAACAAATCACAGAAAAGTTCTAAAATTATTATAATAGATGCTTTATTAAAAAAGAAACTGCTCTAACAATTTTTGAACAGGAAGATAATTAAAAAGTTCACAAATACGTGGAAATTAAACAACATGCTCTTAACAACCAATGGGTCAAAGAAGAAATGAATAGGAAAATTAAATCTTGGGATAAAACTGAAACACAACATACCAACACTTATAGATGTATCAAAAGCAGTTGAGAGAAGTTTATAGCAATAAATGCATGTGTATAAAGAAGAAAGATCTCAAATAACCTAATATTATACCACAACGAGCTAGAAAAAGAACAAACTAAGTCCAAAGTTAGAAGAAGGAGGGAAATAATAAAAATTAGTGTTACCGAAATGCCAAGGGTTTAGTCTAGGTCCTGCTGCTCATTGCACAGAAAGTCAATCACAGAGACGATGCATATTACCAGGGAAGAAGGCTTTTTTGGGTGCTGTGTCTGAGGAGAACAGATCAATCTCAAATCCATCTCTTTCACACACTAAAATTAGGAGTTTATATAGCAGAAAATAAATGCAACTATGTGTGGGAAAGCAAGAATTAGGGAGGAATAAGAAGAATGACTTGGTCAACAAGTAATCAATCAGGCAATCATGACAGGTGAGGGGTCAGTGTCTCAATGTCCAGATGTGGTGATCTGGTAAGTTTCTGTTCCTTGATACTACCTGGGAGGCCCAAAGGTTGTTTTCCTGAGAAAGGAACTCAGATATGACAAATACGAGTTTCTCAAGTTTTAAGACTGAGAAGGTCAATTTCTTGGTTTATTAATGATAAACACTAAACATTAGTTCCATGGGCCAATTGAGCTGGTTTCAATGGCAGAAATAAATGAAATAGAGACTATAAAAAGTAATAGAGAAATATCAATCAAATTAAGAGTTTATTTTTTTCAGATCCAGTGCTGGTTGGTATTTTATTAGAAGAAGACAAACAAAATTGACAACCTCTGGCTAGACTTAAGAAAAAAAGGGAGGAGACTCATGTAAGTAAAATTATAAGTGAAAGAAGATACATTACCACTAATACTACAGTAATACAAAGGGTCATAAGAGATTACTATGAACAATTATATACCAAGAAATTAAATAATATAGATGAAACTGATAAATTTATAGAAACATAATCTACCAAGTCTGAATCATGAATAAATATTTGAACAAACAATGACTGAATCAGTAATCACAAACTTAACAATAAAGAAAAGCCCAGGATCTGATGATTTCACAGCTGAATTCTGCTAAATTCTTTTTACAAGGCCAACATTACCCTGGTACCAAAGCCAACCAAAATACTACAAGAAAAGAAAATTGCAGGCCAATATTCCAATGAACAAACATGCAGAAATCCTCAACAAAATACTACCAAATTGGATTCAATATAGTGATAAAAGGAACATTCACCACAACCAAGTGGGATTTATCCTTGGGATGCAAGGATGGCTCAACATGCACAAATTGGTAAATGTGATAAACCACATTAACAGAATGAAGGACAAAAACCATATGAGCATCTCAAAAAATGCTGAAGAAGCATTTGACAGAATTTATCTTTACCTAATAAAAACTTTCAACAACTTAGGTATAGAAGCAATGTACTGTAACACAGTAAATGTCATATATGACAAGCTCACAGATAACATCATACTCTGTGGAGAAAAGCTGAAAACTTTCTTCTGAGATCAGGAATAAGACAAAGGGATCCACTTTTGCACTTTGATTCAATACAGTACCTTAAGTTCTAGCCAGAGTAATTAGAAAAAAAAAAAAAAAGAAAGAAAGAAAAGTATCCAAATTGAAAAGAAGTTAAACTGTCTCTGTTTGCAGATGACATGATCTTACATACAGAAAACTCTAAATATGCCAACAAACTATTAGACTAATAATTCAGTAAAGTTTCAGGGTATAAAATCAACACAGAAAAATCAATCACGTTTCTATATACTAACAATGAACTACCTGAAAAAGTAATAAAACAATATCATTCACAATAGCATAAACAAAACATTAGGAATAAATTTAACCAAAGAGGTGACAGATCTGTACGCCAAAAAGTTTTTAAAAATTGATGAAAGAAACCAAAGAGATCTCCAGGCATTTGGAGCACCCACTCACCTAGATGAGCAGCCTGAGCCACCCTACCCTTTCTGTGCAGAGATTGTGGTGCCGTGGGACCCTCTCTGCTCCATACACAGTCAGATCTCCAGGCATTCAAAGAATCTGCTCACCTGCATTGGCAGCCTGAGTCACCCCACCCTTCCTTTGCAGAGATCTGTGTGGAGGGGGCTTTCTCAGCTTCACACTCAGGCAGGCAGAGCACCTACTTGCCATGATTAGCAGTCTGAGCTGCCCCATCTTTCCTGAGCAGACATTGTGGTGAAGTGGGGCTGTCTCTGCTCCACAACCAGGCAGATTTCCAGGCATTCTGACCATCTGCTCACCTGAATCATCAGCCTGGCCCATCCTTTCTCCCAGTAAATAAGGGTTAAGTATATATGTAGCTGTGTTTGCCTCAGTTGACTTAGCTGTACATGCCATCTACTGGCCTGCAGGTGGGATCCCATAGCCCATAGAAGAAGAAAAAATCCTACCTGCATTAAAATGACTACAAAAATTGGAAGCACTAGTGTCCCCAGATGAGAAGGAACAGGGCAAGAAATCGGGCACCACAAAAAATGTGAATGTAATAACACCACCAAAGGATCACACTAGCTGTCAAGCAATGGGTCCTAGCCAAAATGGAAACTCAGAAATGACTAAGAATTCAAAGCATGAATTGCAAGGAAGCTCTCAACAAGATCCAAAAGACGGTTGAAAATAGACACAAACTTCTAAAGCAATCTGGGAAATGAAAGAAGAGATAAACATCTTCAAAAGAAATCAATCAGATCTTATGGAATTGAAAAGCTTACTTAAGAAATTTCAAAATACAATTAAAAAATTATCAATTGACTGGACCAAGCAGAAGAAAGAAATGCAGAGCTTGAAGACTGGTCTTTTTTAACTAACTCAGTTAGACAAAAATACAGAAAAAAAGAATTTTAATAAATGAACAAAGTCTTTGAGAAATATAAGATTATGTAAAGCAGCCAAACCTATAAGATACTGGCATTCCTGAGAGAGAAAAAGAAAAAGCAAACAATCCAAAAAACATATTTGATGAAATACTTCAAGAAAATTTCCCTAATCTTTGTCCAGATATGAGAAATTCAGAGAACACCTGTGAGATACTGGACAAAATGAACATCACCAAGGCATATAGTCACCAGAATGTCCAAGGTCAACAC